ACCAGCCAGCCAAGTCTCTCTGACAAGGGGCCATCACAGCTCTCTTCCTACAGTACTTTGAACATCCATCACATTCTTGTCCTCTGCCAGGCCTGTGCAAGACCAATGGGCTGCCTGATCAGAGGGGCGGGGCAGGAAAGTGTGGGCATGTCTCGGAACTGTGGGCAGGTGTCTTGGAATGTGCTAGTTAGCAGGCCTCAGGCCAGTGGGAGCCTTCAGCAGAGTCAAGAACGCTGGCTGAACCGGAAGGTGAGGACTGTGTTCTGAAGCAAAGGGAGATGTGAGAGCACGGAGCCCCCACTTTGAAGCTGGTGGAGAAAAGGAGGAGACAGGCACAGGTAGCTTAGAGCTCTCAACCCTGCAAGTCATATAAAGGCTGACTTGGTAGCCTGGGATCCCGTAACCAAAGGGTAGGGAAAGATGGGATGGATGGAAGCATAAAACTAAAGCCAGCCTTGTTTGGAGACCGGATGACCTAGAGGGATTGTGGGATGTGAGGTCTGCTGGATAAGGGCAGAGGTAACACTTGGTGAGAGAGTAGCTCATGAACTCATCAGGGGAACTGAGTTGAAATCCAGAAGCAGTGTGCAAACTGAGTGTGGTGGTGCAGGCTTGCAGTCTCAACTACTGGGGCAGGAGGACCGAGTTCAAGTCCGGCGTGGGCACCTTAGTGAGGAGTGTCTTAAGTGGTGGAGGAAGTGTGGGGAGATGGCTCAGCAGTTAGGAGCACTGGCTCCTCTTGCTGAGGACTTTGATTCTGTTCCCAGAACCCTCTTGGTGGCTCACAAGTATCTATAAGCCACAGTCCCAGGTATCTGATGCCCTTTTCTGGCTTCCACTGGCACCAGACATTTACTTGGTGCACAGACATACATGCAGGCAAATATTCATGTGTACAAAATAAAAATAAAAATAAATTAAAAATTTTGAAAACATTTTAAAGGGGGTGGAGTGTTGGAGAGCTGGAAAGGCGACTTCTTGCAGAAGACCTGGGTTCATTCCAGCTGGGGGAGACTGCTTGTTCGTTCCTGGCTGCCTAGACCCAAAATAACCACACAGAAACTATATTATTTGCAATACTGGTTGGCCAATAGCTTAAGCATATTTCTGGCTAACTGTTATATTTTAAATTAACCCATTTCTGTTCCTCTGTGTATCGCCATGTGGCTGTGGCTTAAGTGCTAAAGTTCCTTCAGGTGTTTGTCTCTTGTGGGGCAACATGGCTTCTCACTGACTCAGCCTTCTTTCTCCCAGCATTCAGTTTAGTTTGCCCACCTACCTCCATTCTGCTAAGCCACTGGCCAAAACAGATTTATTCATTAACCAATAAAAGCAACACATAGAAGAGCTTCCTACACCAGTTTCCCAGCACCCATGTCAGACAGCTCACAACCTTCTGTGACTCGAGCTTCAGGAGATCCGATGCCTCTAACCACTTCAGGATCTGCATTCATATGTACATATCCATCAATCATTAAAATAAGTGGGACACTGAGGTGTGGGCTTGTAGGAAAGCATTTTCCCAGTGTGAGCAACACCCTCCTAGATTCATCTCTCAACACTGAAAACAAATAAATAAAATCCAAAAATAGGCTGGATTCAATTGGAACAGGAACTATAACATCAGGGCGACATCAAAAATTTAGGAAGTGAGAGAAGTCTCTCTCATACCTTCTGCTAGGACAACTGAGAACTGGGTGTTGGGCCTAAGAGTTGTTGATTGTTCCATATACAGTATTGCATTTATGGAAAAGCTGCTGAGCTGCTGGGACTCACATGGGTGACTTCATGTGAATACCGGGAATACCAACCCAAGCAGAGGAAAGATGAAAAACCTCAAGGCTCAACGTCATATCTGGAGGTCACGGGTGTGGATGTCATGATCTAGACTTCCCAGCTGTTAAAATCTGTAACTTACTTTTGAGTGACTCAACCATCTTTGTTTACAAGTTTTGCCTCAGCTTCTCTTCCTGTTGCAGTGATAAAACGCTCCAAAAACAAAACAAAGCCGGGCCGTGGTGGCGCAGGCCTTTAATCCCAGCACTCGGGAGGCAGAGGCAGGCGGATCTCTGTGAGTTTGAGGCCAGCCTGGTCTACAAGAGCTAGTTCCAGGACAGGCACCAAAGCTACAGAGAAACCCTGTCTCGAAAAAAAAAAAAAACAAAAAAAAACAAAAAAACAAAATCAGCTTAAGGACGAAGGGCTTTCTTTGAGCTCATGGTTCCAGATCACAGTTCCTTCTGGTGGGGAAGGCCAGGAAAGCAGGAAGCTGAAGCAGCTGGCCACATCACATCGGCAGCCAGAGGCTGAGAGCAGTGGGCATGTCATCTACTGCTCAGCTTGCTTTCTCCACTTTATGAAGTCCAGGATCCCATGCTAGGGACCGTCTCACCCACAGTTAAGATGGGTCTTCTCACCTCGATGAATTTATGTATATTGACAACCAAGACAACCCCGCCCCCCACACACCGGAGGCCCTTCTGCAAAGTGATTCTACATTCAGCCAAATTGACGTCACTGTTAATCATCACATGTATACAGACAGAAAGTAAAATAGCAACAAAGTTGTGGGTAAAGATTATAGGAATTCAGATACATATGGAAATATTCTTCCAAAATTTTTATGTATTTGAAAATTTTCTGACAGAAAGGTTGAGGAAAAAGTTGGGAGGGGATTGATAGCAAGGCTGCTTCATGGAGCTACAGGTGGGTTCCTTGTGCTCTGCCTGTGTAGGAGGAGGCTGTAGAGCAGGCTCACACCTGCAGAGGGTTGCAAAGAGGCAGAAATGCTAACATTTAGGGGAAGATGGCTGGATGGGCAGAAGATGGGGGCGCTGGGAGGAACCCTCCTCGTGTCCCAGCTTTGTGCGGCTTCGGTTTGTGAATCATGAGACTGATCTTTTGATGGGCGACTCTTTGCCTTAAAAATGAATGTGTGAACGAATGAAGCGTGTTATCTAAGGAATGGACATAGAGTACACAGCAAAAACTGGACTTGGAGGTTCATGCCTCTGTTTCTAGATGTTCGGGAGGCCAAGAGAGGAAAATCACACGTTCAAGGACCGCTTAGTCTACAGAGTGGGTAAGGGGGCAGAGAGGCGGTTCAGTGATTGAGAGCACTTGCTGCTCTTGCAGAGAACCTAGATTCGGTTCCCAGCACCCATGTTGGACAGCTCACAGCTGCCTGTAATGCCAACTCCAGGATAATTTGATGCCCTATTCTGAGTGTTGTAGAGAGCTGCGGGCTGTGTTCCACCCGGCTCCCACACGGCTAGCTTTACACCAGAAATAACAACACACAAACTGTATTCATTTAAACACTGCTTGGCCCATTAGCTCTAGCCCTTACTGGCTAATTCTGATATCCCCATCAACCCATCTCTAATAAACTGTGTAGCACCGGTCTTACCGGGAAAGATTCAGCATGTCTGACCTGGCGGCTTGCTTCATCGTGTCTGCCTCTGAGAGGAGCTGCATGGTTTCTGAGCTCACTTCCTCTTCATCCCAGCATTCTGTTCTGTTTACTCCACCCACCTATGTTCTAGCATATCAGGGCCAAGCAGTTTCTTTATTACTTAACCAATGAAATCAACAGATTGATATATGACACTCCCACATCATCTGAGCACCAAAGGCATGCATGTGCATGTAAGTGCACACTCCCTACACACACACACACACACACACACACACACACACACACACAATCAAAAATAATAAAAATAAATAAAATCTTTGTAAAATAACAAGCACTCCTTTTTCCAGGGTGAAGGTGTGGGCCCTCCTGGGGCCTTCTTCCTCAGCTTGTGGGCACCATCTTGCTGTCATGGTTGTCCCTCTCTGTACCGACATCCGCATGTCCTCCTCTTATGAGGACATCAGTCTCACCAGATCACAGCATCTTAACTTGATCACCTTTTAAAGTCCTCACCTGCAAACATAGGACTTCAGTAAAGGGAGGAGGGGATGACGAAGGCTATACAAAGGCCACTGGGAAGATGGTAGTGCCCTGGTGGTAAATAGTAGGCTCAAAATGCTGTGAACACCCTTGGTGCCACTGAGCTGGTTAGAAATGGTTGGTGTGGTACAATTTTTGTGACACACATTTACCCAAATGTAATAAATTTTAAAGAAGGGACACCCTAGACAGGCATGAGACTTGGAAGCTTTCCTTTCAATGGTAAGACACATTGGCCGGAAAGCGTCTAGGAGAGTAGGGGGACATCAGTGTCAAAGAGGAGTTTGACCACAGCAGAGTCTCTGAGTTGGTTCTAGGCTTGCTAGCCTCTCCCCACTTGTGCTGTGGAAAGAGTGATTTTGCCCCATAGTTGCAAAGTCCCTTTGAATAGATGACCCAGGCTCTGTGAGCAACACTGTCAGCTCCTGGCAGCCTGGTGCAGCCACAGCCTTATGCACTGGCGCCTTATCTGGAAGCCGGTCCATCTTACAGTTTCCAAACTTTCCCCACAGCTGCCAGCCGCCATTTCTATAGCAACTGATGCCCTTTGCAACCGGGGTGGGGGGAGTGCAGAGACCCTAAGCAGAGGAGAAAGGGGAGATGAGCTGCACAGACAGGTGATAGGTTGACAAACCCCAGAAGAGGATGGGGCCTACCGTTTATGCTGCTCTGTTGAGAGCCTTGGCAAGCACCCTTTGACCATCTTGTTTGATTTGATGTGTGATCTCCTGATGAAAGGAGAGGAGACAGAACACACTTGGTCAAAGCCACCAGTGAGGCACAACTCTAAGGGTCAAGGAGCTGGGGATGCAGGAAAATAGCTGAGCCTCATTCAGGCTTACTCTGTGTGCCTCCTGCCCCTCCCTTCTTCCTTGGAAAACTCCTCCAAGGAAGGGTGTTGCCTGGTGTTTCTGGCAGTGCTCTAGGAGGCAAGTTCCTTAAGCGCTCAGTGCTTACAGGAGAGGAGTGATTAAACCAGGTTAAATGTGATGTGCCTGCGGCATTTGAGGGCGGGACTAAAACTCTTCCCGTTTCTTTCCAGTTGGCCATGGGCAGAGTGAAGGAGAGAGGATGGTGGTGTCGGACTTCCAGGTTTTTGTCAGAGATGTGCTGCAGCACGTAGACACCGTTCAGAAGGACTACCCTGGGGTCCCTGTCTTCCTCCTAGGCCACTCTATGGTAAGCAGGTCAGAGAGAAGTTCAAAGCAAGCCTGGTCCCTTCCTGCCCCACTAGCCTCAGCCCGGATGGAATGTCCTTTTCACAGACCCTATCTGTGGAGTCCCCTGCACCCCCAGCACTCAGAAGCTGAACTAGCTCCTGGATGTCCTCATGCTCAGGGCTGGATGGATGACAGTGAGCAGGAACATCCCATGAAGCAGACCTGAAAGCAGTTTGAGTCCCTTTCCCTCGGAGATCTCTGAGCTCCAAGAACCAAGTTTAATCTCAGAGGACACCACCACAGCAGCCCCCAGGCCATTCCTTCCAGCAGGAAAGCTAGCAACAGGGGTCTGAGAACTGCTGAGACCTAGAGGGCTGCTCTGCAGGGCACCTCCTCACTGCCTGGCCCCTGTAAATGTTGGAGATTACAAGTCTTTCTGTCAATTTCCTCTGGGCTTCAGACAAACAAAACTGCCTCTGCTGCTTCCTCCTCCTCCTCCTGCTCCATCCACATCAGGACTGGTTATTCTTCCTGGAACTTAAGTTTTGGAATCATTACTGAACACACACACACACACACACACACACACACACACGTATCTATCTATTACTATCACTGGATTGCCCCCTAAAGAAAGGAAACAACACATTTGTCTGTCAGAAGAGATGAATTGTGGGTCTGCTAGCTTTGGGCCTGAGACTAGAAAGCAATACATTGTACATTTGTAACCCACAAGCAGGGAACCTTCTTTGCATCTGTCTGAAATATTTGGCTTTGGAAAACCCAGAGAAGAGAAACGTGCAATCAAACCCTACAGAGTCAGGCACCGTGGCTCACTCCCATAATCCCAGCACTCTGGAGACTGAGGCAGGAGAATGGTCATGAGTCTTTGGCTGTCCTGGGCTATAGAGTAAGACTCTGTCTCAAAAAAAAAAAAAAAAAGGAGCCGGGCGGTGGTGGCGCACACCTTTAATCCCAGCACTCGGGAGGCAGAGGCAGGCGGATCTCTGTGAGTTCGAGGCCAGCCTGGTCTACAAGAGCTAGTGCCAGGATAGGCTCCAAAGCTACAGAGAAACCCTGTCTCAAAAAACTAAAAAAAAAAAAAAATAGGAAAGGGGCGAGGGCAAGAAAAGAGAAGGAGGGAGAGGAAGGGGGAGAGGAGGGAGAGGGAAAGGGGGAGGGAGGGAGGTAAAGAGAGAAGCAGGAAGGAAGAGGAGAAAAGAAGGAAGGAGTGATCTGCGTGCCAGTGGATGGAGTCTGCTCCAGGTCCACACACATGCTCTTGGCCAGCATGGAAGCAGGTGAGGGGGTCGGGGTCACGCTGGTTAGAAGCTGGTGCCACTCTGTTCTTTTTGCCTTGCAGGGCGGTGCCATCTCCATCCTCGCGGCTGCAGAGAGACCAACCCACTTCTCTGGCATGGTCCTGATCTCCCCTCTGGTTCTTGCCAGTCCAGAATCTGCATCAACTTTCAAGGTAAGAGGACACTGCAGTCTGTAGGGACCCAGAAGCTTCTTGAGTGTGATGCACCCCCTTATAGCTGGAGTCTGTGTCAAAGGCCCCACTGTTGTTCCTCAGCTTCAGACACTATTGTGTGACGGACTGACGTCAGTCACCAGGGCTTAAGTTGAAGTCAGATATGTCTTTCCCCTCAACACAAAAGAAAAGGCTTCCTGTTTGTGCGTGTTGTGCTGGCCAAAGTTAAGAGAAGGAAAGGTTACAGTTGTTCTCGAGCTGGCGGAGCCACGTTTGCTGACAAGTCCCACGCAAGTGTGAGCTTCTGTACCCGAACGTTTGCCAGCCTCAGCAGAACGTGAACTCGGAGTGGAGCGGCAGCTGTGGATCCTATTCCCGGCTGCTCCGTTCCGTCTCTGAGCTCTTCCACCCTGATGAACGGATGCATCGTTTTTGATTGTGGATATAACGTGCTGTATAACAGTTTGCTGCTGTTGCTAGAACTTTGACCCCTTTTGACAAGGTTAACGAGGCAAGGAAACACCTAGAACTGAATTTAACCCCCACTCCAAAAAAGGAGCCAAAGCCAGTCTCTCTGAGGGACTGCGAATGTGGCCTCGGTGCAGATCTGTCCTTAGGAGAAGCACCCAAGGAGTACCCCAGCCCTGGCAGAGGCTGCTGTGGCCTGGGCCAGCTCTCAGGATGCTTGGAGGGGAATGAGGGTGAGGTGATGTGTCCTGGGTCCAGGTGCCCTGGGCAGCCTATATTCTCACCATCAAATAATGACAGGAGGCTATTTCAATACCAGTGTGGCCTCTTGTTCTCCAGTCTCTTGGGACCCACCCAGTGGAAGCTGGTACTTGTCTGTGTTCCCAGGCTGCGCAGTGGCATCATGGAAAGGTACAGAGGCTGTGGCCTTCTTCACATCTGCCCTGGTGGCTGTGGTTTTATGGGGCAAGGCCAAGTTAGTCTGAGGCACTGTTCCAACTCGAGTAAGACAGAGGTGAGAGGGGAAGGCTCTACTGTGTCCTGATGGCTTCATTCTGGAGGCCTGTGCACCAAGGAGTCTCCAACTGTGTCAGGAGTTGCCAAGTGGAGCTGTGTGTTCACCCACACAGTCCCAGACTAGGGAAGAGGCAAGACCCGTGTGCTAGGGGTGGGGACACTGAGGCTTGGGAAGGGGTAGTTAGCCAGGGTTAGCGAGTGGGAGATGTGAGCCCCGGTGGGGCTGCCCCCACAGAGAAGAAAATGGATGTTTCCCCCTTAGAGACAATCCACAGAGCCTTTTAGATAAAGTGCACCACAGCAGCTGTGCCCAGAGGAAGGCCGCCAAGGTTTCCTCCCAGGGTCCCCTAGGGCTCCGTCTAGGACCAGCAGTGGCCACACTTCTGAGCTGGTGACCTTTCAGGCTTGGTACTAATAGATCACCTTGTCAAATCAGGAGCCGGGGTCTCTAGGGGGACACAGGTCTCCTCTGATTTACCAAGACAAATTAGATTTCCCCTGGCCTGCCAAGGGCCAACCCCACCCATGTCTCTTGCTGCCTTCAGGCTTCAGCCGGTATTGTCTTGGACTGGCACAAAGTGTGATTCCCGGTTCACCTGCTTGGGTCATGCGGCTGCTCTCCACACACGGCCTTCTCCTCAGACAGGCTCCCTGAGAGGGACTCACCGCATCTTTTTTTTTCTCAGTGTAGTTTTAAATATTGAAGAATAATTCAGAATTCAAATACTAAAAGGTGGGGAAAGGTATGGAGAAAAGCCTGCCTCGGGGAGCGAGCAGCAGTCATGCTAACAGAGCTCGCTTAGGAGATACAGTTGGTGTGCACATGCGTCGTTTGTTCTGGCTGCAGATGGGGGCTTGTTCCACATATCATGGGGAATATTATTACGTGTTCCTTTGGTTGATCTGCTTGTTCTTTGAGGGGTTTGGTTTGGTTTTGTCCTTTTTATTATATGTCTTGGTGATCTTTCTTCATCAAAATCTGAATGGAATTTACCAACAGGTTCAGATCCTGGCTTAGAGCTCCCGGAGAAGCAAACACTAGTCCCCCCTGTCCCCCCCCCCCCCCCCATTTCTAGTCACTTGCTCCTGTGAGCCTCACAGATGGACTGTGCTCTGGGAAATGAAATGGAGGTGGGGTTCACAGGCAGGGGATTCTGAGGGGTGGAGGAGGTGAGGACTCAGAGTTGAAGGGTAGGGATGGAGGAGGAGCTTCCCCACTTGTCCTGGGAATAGCCCCAGAGCCAAACGGATCCTGAGCTCACTTAATGGCGCTGGCATGCAGCTTGGTGGTGGGCATTGGCCTCCGGTGAGTGAATGTGGGACCCACACAGCAGAACCCAACACAGGAAGAGAAATCCCGGGTCCTCAGACTGCATCATCCAGCCAGTACTAGCCTAACCTCAGCTGGTCCCAGATAACACATCCGTCTTCCGTCTTCGTACGCATGTGGGTGTGGAAGGTGACCAGCTTCACCCCTGGGATGGGAGGGTGCCCAGTCACCACCATCTGCTCTTTCCACCGAGGCTCTGTTCGGACAAGCTGGGATATATTTAGCCTGAGGAAGAGACTGGGGACAAAGACAGCAGCGCCCAGCGCTCTCTGCTGAGGAAGTGGTTTCACAGGGAAAACGGCAGCAGCAGAAATTTAGAGACCAAAATTGCAGAGAACAAGTTTGAGCCGCTGCCCTGGCTGTCGCCTCAGTCTCGCGTGTCTTCTAGGATCTCTGCTTTTTCTAGGAGCCTCAAGGAAAGCAAAACTCCTAGGCAGGACTGGGCTGGGGCTACCAGGACTGTCATGAGTGGAAACCATGTCCCTGCCTGAGGTCCCTGGAGTCCAGAGAAGGGCTCTGCAGGGTCCCTAGACAAAGTATGGAGAGGGGCTATCTCCAGGAGCCCCTGTGTCTCCCAGAGAACACCAGCTGCTGGGACAGGAAGTGACTCCTAATTCACAGGAGAGGAAATGAGGCCATTGTCTTCCTCAAGGTCAGCTTGATTGCTACTGAGCCAGGGATCCAGCCCCCTTTCACCCTAAACCGTGACCTCGGTCATCTTCCTGTGACTAGATCCTACTTCCCATCTGAACACGCCAAGCCTGTTTTTGGCAGTGGACTCCATCCAGTGAGCTGGGAAGAGTATGGAGTGGAAAGGGAATGGGACAGGGCTGCAGGTAAGTGGCCTGGCGGGGGCCAGTGGGGCAGCCACCATAAGCTCTCAGTGTGACTACCCCTCATGGGCACCTGCTCTCTGAGAGCTGGGGCTTAGATCTCCAGACCTGTGTCTTGAAAGCAAGCTCTCCACCCTGGAGTCATCTGAGTCCCTGGAAAAACATGGGACGGCTACATTTCTATTGCACGATTGCCTGGCGAGCTGCATTCCTGCCCAGAACGACCTGAAGCGACCCTAGAAAGCCTTGCCAGATCACAGATGCGCCATCCCATGGCCTCCTGAATGCAGTACAGCTTGTGGGAACCACGTCAGAGCGAAGGGGGGGCCGTAATTACTTCTCACAGCAAGTTCTTCACAGGCAGAAGCTTAAAAATGATCGCAGGAGCCGTTAAGGCCTTTTGATCAATAAAGGCATTTATGCATGTCTCTGCTGTTTACAGTGACGGGCACTGCAGTTGATTCAGAGCTGTCCCCAGGGTGTGACAGGACTCAGGACACCCCCTCCTCCAGGCCTTGCTCATCAGGAGAGCAGCCTGTCGTGGGAGCGGAGTTTCTGTTTATAGGGGCTGCATCATGACCGGCAGCTCAGCCACAGAGCTAGTCATGGGAGCACACACCTGCCATCCCAATTCTCCGAAAGTGGAGACAAAGAGTAGTGAATTCAAGGCTAGCCTGAGCTACCCTGTGAGCTCATGTCTCAAAAAAGTGCATAAAAGTTTCAGGTCATACAAGTCTCCAGAGTCCCCACTAGGGGTGCTGTTTGCTTCTCATTCAATTGAGAAGCAAGGACCAAGGGCCAAACTCTGCAGGGGTCAGTCTTCAGAAACACCCCAAGAATCCTTAAGGTGGCCTTTACTGACCCCATTTGACAAATGAAGAAACCATGTGATCCAGACATCACCCCTCCTGGAGCTTACCCATAGGAATCCCAGTTGGCTTATCACAGAGACATCTGCACACCAGGTTCGCCACTGCGGTAGTTGGTGGCCAAGATATGGAACCAGCCTTGATGCCCATCACCAGATGACTAGGTAAAGGAAGTGTGGTCTGTTCACACAACGGCGTTTTACTCGGCCCCAAAGAACAAAATTATGTCACTCACAGGAAAGTGGATGGGCCTGGAGATCATTATGTGAAATGAAGTAAACTAGACCCAGAAAGACAAATGTCACATTTCCTCTCATATACAAGACCTGCAGCATACACACACAGCCACACATACTCACACAGACTCATACTCACATATACACATACACTTGTACATAGCACACACATACACATGCAACATAAACACATGTACTTATGTATATGCACATATGCATGTACACATATACACAGGGTTGTGTCTACCACACATACACAGGTATATGCAGACACATATAATCTGAAAAGGGGTACTATTGAAAAAAAGAAATGAGTTCAGTAATAAATAAATAAATAAATAAGGGAATGTGGGAGCAGGAGAGAAAATGGTGTAAATAGGGGCAAAATACATGGTCTACCTGAATGAAATGTCTACAAACCCCAGCAGGTTTTATAATGACTATATGCTAACATATGCTAATAAAAGTTGTTAAAGAGAGTTTCTCAAGGATTCAGCCCCACAGTTTACACCCAAGTTGACTAACTTGAGTCCAGCTTGCCTGTTGGGATCGTGGGGAAGGCAGGCAGCTCATAGTCTCCTCTTCCTGAGCTGGGTCCACGGCTATCTCCATGCCTACAGGACAATTTGACGTACGTGAAGAGCCCTATTGAAAAGGCAGCTGAAGTGACGACTGCTTGGATACCGTATGCCTTCCACCTGTGGGTGAGCACAACCCCACTCTCCACCTCCTGGGGAAATCAGGAGCATGGCCAAGGCTTACAGATGTGATCACAGTTGCTTTCCAGGAGCCATCTAGCAACCTTGACTCCTCGCTCCCCAGGTTGTGGGATCTACTGTGGTGCCGCCTTTCTCTCTGCCTCCTCGGCATTGGGCCCCTGTCTGCCGCTCATCCCTCTTGTCCTTCATCCCATCAGCCCCCTTCCACTGCAGAGGTCTTCCTTCTCCCAGCCTCCATCCCTGCTGCCGTGCAGGGTGGGGAAGGGCCTCTCGCAGATGCTTGGTGCCCTGTGTCTCAGGAACAGCCCTCTGCCTGCCTTGATTTCCTGGTGGAAGCAGCTGCTAACGTACCTAATCTCTTTATGCCCTGTGGTGGTTGTTGTCCAAAGGCACGCTCCCCTCTGAACGGGTCCCATTAGAAACCTTATGTAGAGCTTCCAACACATGTTAGAAAGTTGGTGACCAGCACTGGGCAAGCATCAGCCTGCCCAGCAGAAGGGGCTGGTATATGCCTCCTACTCTGCCTGTGCGCTGGGGTCAGTGAGGTTTCAAGAGATTCAGGTGAGATCTGCTGGGCCATACCTGGGACCAGAAGTCAGAGATCTTGGGGTGGCCTGGATATGTGTGAACCCTGGTCCTCAGACATCACTGTCTTTTGTTTCTTTTTCTGTTGCTGTGATAAAGAAAACTATCCTGACTAAAGCAACTTAAGGGAGAAGGGGTTTATTTAGCTCTCAGCTCCAGGTTACAGTCCATTATGGTGGCGAAGACACAGCAGCAGAGGTCGAGGGAGCTGGTTACGCTGCGTCTGTAGTCAAGAAGCAGAGCACAGCAAGGGAAGCTTGCTAGTGCTCCCTAGTGCTCAGCTCCCTTCTCCATTTTAAGCAGATCCTAGGAAAGTCCCGCCCACAGGAGGCAGGTCTTTCATCTTCATTATAACAACCAAGATAGTCGCTATCAGACACCCCTGGGGGCTGTAGCAATGAAGAAAATTCCTATCAGACACCCCCAGGGGCTATAACAACCCAGACAGTCCCTATCAGACACCCCCAGGGGCTATAACAATGAAGACAATTCCTATCAGACACCCCAGGGGCTATAACAATGAAGCAGTCCCTATCAGACACCCCCAGGGGTTATAACAATCAAGATAGTCCCTATCAGACACCCCCAGGGGCTATAACAACCAAGACAGTCCCTATCAGACACCCCCAGGGGCTATAACAACCAAGACAGTCCCTATCAGACACCCCCAGGGGCTATAACAACCAAGCAGTCCCTATCAGACACCCCCAGGGATTATAGCAATGAAGACAATTCCTATCTGACACCCCCAGGGGCTATAAGAATCAAGACAGTCCCTATCAGACACCCCCAGGGATTATAGCAACGAAGACAATTCCTATCAGACACCTCCAGGGGCTATGACAATGAAGACAATTCCTATCAGACACTCCCAGGGGCTATAACAACCAAGACAGTCCCTATCAGACACCCCCAGGGGCTATAACAATGAAGACAGTCCCTATCAGACACCCCCAGGGGCTATAACAACCAAGACAGTCCCTATCAGACACCCCCAGGGGCTATAACAACCAAGACAGTCCCTATCAGACACCCCCAGGGGCTATAACAACCAAGACAGTCCCTATCAGACACCCCCAGGGGCTATAACAACCAAGACAGTCCCTATCAGACACCCCCAGGGGCTATAACAACCAAGACAGTCCCTATCAGACACCCCCAGGGGCTATAACAATGAAGATAGTCCCTATCAGACACCCCCAGGAGCTATAGCAATGAAGACAGTCTCTATCAGACACCCCCAGGGGCTATAGCAATGAAGACAGTCCCTATCAGACACACCCAGGGGCTGTCTCACAGGTGATTCTAGATGCTGTCAAGTTGACAACGAATAAATACTGTCACATCACCACCACACATGCAAACCCCTCTTTCATAGTTTTCTCTTCCATCCTTATCCAGGAATGGGGCATCTCCATTCTCTCTCCAGAGTTGGCTCGTACCCAGATCTCCCACTGCCACCAATATACTGAGACACTTCTGTTCTCTGGGTGGCATCCCGTGGGGCAGACCCTGACAAAAGGCTGCATCCCTGCGGGCTATGGCCCTCATCCATGTCTGTGAGTGGGCAGCCAGTCCTGTTGCTAGGACACCAGCATCTTCATCTATACAGCCAGCACTGGACATTCATTGTTAGGAGTTGGTGCTTAGGCAGTGTACTCCCCCATCCTGAGGGCTAGCACAGTAACTCCAGGGGGCAGGAGCGACTGTGTTTGAGCGGCCACTATGGCATCACCTCCCCCATACAGGCTGAGGCCAGGCCCGGTGTGTTCCCACCACATCTCCCCACTGGGCTTTAGGCTGCTGGGGAAAAGAAAATGACTGTCAGGGCACAGCCTCTGTATTGGGAAGGGAGGTGAGGCCACAGTCCACTGTTCATCTCTGTGGGGGGACAGCCTATTTTAAAGTAGCACATCTCAGGAGGTAGTGACCTCTCCCTCAACCCCTCAGTTTTCTCAAAAAGCTTCCTTTAGCTGCCCAAATGTTCCCCACAAATGGAGGAAGAAGACTGCTGGCTAGCAAGAGGAGACAAGAGATGTTTTCACTGTAGTTCTCCCTTGGAGGCAGATTGCCTGGCACCAGAGCCCCTCTCTGCAGCCCCTTATGGAACTAGAAATGGCTCCAGCCATCCCAGTCCTTGTCTCCATCTTGAATGTCCTTGTCTGCTTGAGAGCCTGGGGTGGAGGCCGCAGTACCTGAAGGCATCCTGCTTTGGTTTAGGTGGGGCCACAGCAGGTTGCCCTGTCTGTTCCATGAGCAATACTGAATAGGACTGGAAGCTCTTTGCCCAGGGCCACATGGAATCAGGTGCCATGGCAGCAAGAGAGGGATCTGATGGTGGAGCTGTTGAAAGGGAAGAGGCACCATGTGGTTTCTCTCTGTTTCAGGCCAGTGCTAAGGCCGTCTCTGTCCCTCTCTCTACTTTGCTGTCCCTCTTTCCTGGTCCTGTCTCACTGTCTCCCGTGAATGCGGCCGAGAGCGCTAATCTGTACCATATATAAGCACTCAACCACTGCAACCACGAATGATCCCTGTGGTGACACGGTAGACGGTCAAGCGGTCTATCAATTGATCCATCCATTCTGCAGGAAGGATTTTGCAGTGGGTTGCCAGCTGTTCCCTGGCTTGTGGCTGTGGCAAAAAAAAATCATTTGGATCAAGCAGAAGGGGACAGTGCCTGGGATAGTGGTATAAGCACACCTGTCTTTCTGTAGCCTGGGACCTTGCTGCAACCTCGGAGAATATCAGGGATAGAGGAGACCAGCCATCAGCCCTCACATGGATTCAGGAGCTGGGACGGAAGTCGTGGAGAACAGCAGAGTGTCTGGAAGTCAGTTCTATGAAACTTGCTGGTAGTGTGAAGATTTCCCCATAGTAGTGCTGTTACCAGACTCCAGTGCTCAAGGAGGCTATGGCCCTGGACACCCCTTTGCTTCAGTCTGAGTTCATGAAGGCCACAAGGCTGCAGCCCACAGCTTCCTTGCACTTACTGGCTGTTTTTACTTTGTCCTTAGATTTTGTAACTTTTGAAAGCACAGCTTCCAACTCCAGAACTCAGGCTCCCAAGAAAGCCTTTGCTTCTTGTATTTTACAGATGTTTCCTCCAAGCGTTTGTCGGCGATTCCAGATCCTAATCCCTTCCCTTTCAGCACAAGTGCTGAGCTGCTGCATAAAACCCATCTCTTACACACACACACACTACACACACACACACACACACACACACGCACACACACACACACAAATCACTCATACTTCCACCCCAGATGGCTTCACAGAGTGAAAACTATTAACACTCGACACAGGGTGTACCGATGGAGTCCTCTTGTGTCTACACTGGACTGTCCGGCACTGGAGCCCAGGGCTCTGGCACCCTGACACAGTAGCAGCAGCAGCAGTTAACACCAGTGAGCTTTGTTTGCCTGGATGCCAAGGTGCGTCCAGAGTGCAACGAGCTAAGATATTCTCAGAGGTAGGAGTTGGCAGTGCCCTCTATGGATGGGCAAGATAGGGTGTTCAGAGTACACTACAGCACAGTGTCCTCTATGGGCAAAGCAGGCCTTACTCTGCCTGGTCAGAGGAGGCAAGTTGGCTGAATGAGGCTGGGGGAGTCCTGGCTACAGCATCATCTGGAGAATGTCAGTGGCTGCTGCGGGCATCAGAAGGAAGAGCTAGAACGCTCAGGTGCTATCATGGAAAGAGAGACAGGCAGAGAAAGGGAGGCACAGTAAAAAAGGCAGGTGTGTTTCCAGTCGGCCCTGCTGACGACAGGGAGGCCAAGCCTCCATTGTCCCAGTATCCCAAGGTTCTAATATTTTTTTTTTTTTTTTACAAATGCTGGATGACAGTTAAGCCCTACTCAAAGGATCTAGTCAATATCACCTAGCAGAGGCTTCCCATGCCACAAACAATTCACCTGCCATCAAGAGACCAACCTGTGTGTCAGGCGCCCTCCACACCTAAGAACTCACTCTTTGCCAGCTCCTATGGTTCTAATTTCAGCATTTCACTTCTGACATAGCTTCTTTCGCCCGAAGTGTCTGCACTCATTGCAGACGTGAAATTAAACAGCCTCTCTCAGAATACAAACGTGCAAGACTGAGAATATCTGAGATCCAAAGGGGGGCTGGGCTGAGACCAAGTCAGGCTCATCGTGTTGGCTGGGCATGTATAGAATGCCAGGCTTTATCACACAGAATGTTATTAATCTTCCCTGTGGTCTGTTTGGGGGAATGACAGGGTCCCCACCGGCAGCTGTGCCAACAGAGCTCAGTATTGAGGTCCCAGCCTGTGTTCCTGGCTCACGGAGCTGGGAACCAGATAGGGGGCTCCTTCCCTCTGCCACAGGACTTCCTGTTCAGGCTGGTGATGGTTTGTTTTCCATGTGGTGGAACATAACATGCAAGCGATTCTCTCTGATCCAAGCTGCCCTGCTTTCTTTGCTCGCTGACAGCTGATGCAATGATTCTAACTCTGCTGCGTCGTTGTGGTGCCTTGGAGAAGGGGTGCATCCCAGGGCACAGCCTCATCAGTGGCTCTCAGAAGCCATTCACAATTACATCTGATGCATGGTTATATCTGCACAGAATCCAGAGCAAAAAAACAGATGCGGTGGTCACACCAGCAGGAGAGCAGCCCTGCATCGGGGCCCTGCGTCCCGAGCATCAAGAAAGGCCAGCACACTCAGCAGGAGTGCCAGCTCCTTGCCCAGGTGGTACTCTAGCCCTCCAGCGTGGATGGCCTGCACTCATGACTCTCTTTTTACCTCCCTGCCCAGGTCCTTGCTGCCAAAGTTCTCAACTTTGTCCTGCCAAACATGTCCTTGGGGCGCATTGACTCCAGCGCGCTGTCTCGGAACAAGTCGGAAGTGAGTGCAGATGGACATTGGGGTGTTGGGAACAATACTCAGGTGAAGGCGGGGTCCAGGGAGATCTGACCTCGGCTCTATCCTCGCCACTCTGCTGCCATTTCTGGGTGGTAGGAAGATGGAGACACAGTGGAGTGAGAAGTTTTGTCCTTGTCTTGGGTTAGGGGAAGGTGGAGAGTCTGAGCTCCACTCCAGACAACCAGAGAACTGGATGGAGGACCTGCTGTGCGGTTAGGATGGAGGACGCTGTGTGGTTAGGATGGAGGACGCTGTGTGGTTAGGATGGAGGACACGCTGTGTGGTTAGGATGGAGGACGCTGTGTGGTTAGGATGGAGGACGCTGTGTGGTTAGGATGGAGGACGCTGTGTGGTTAGGATGGAGGACGCTGTGCGGTTAGGATGGAGGACACGCTGTGTGGTTAGGATGGAGGACGCTGTGTGGTTAGGATGGAGGACACGCTGTGTGGTTAGGATGGAGGACACGCTGTGTGGTTAGGATGGAGGACACGCTGTGTGGTTAGGATGGAGGACGCTGTGTGGTTAGGATGGAGGACCTGCTTAGGGGTCCCACTGCTGGGCTAGCCTGAGAACTTGCTGGGAGTGCCCACTGGTGGATTGATGGTGAAGGCTTGAAGAAGTAACCCTGGACATGTAGAAGATATCAGAATTACCCTGACAACTAAGCAAACTTGTTGCCACTTTTCTGCCTTGGTTTCTTTTCTTACCTTAGGAGCTTGAATCACAGGCTCCCCAAAGACCCTAAGCCCCTCCTCCAGGGTGGGGACTCTGGCAACCCCTGTGCCCTGGCCTGCTTTCCTGGGCAGTCAGACTCTGGCTTCCTGGTCGGGTTCCACCCTTGGGCACATTTAGGTCTGGGGTCAGAGAATGCCCTTGTCATCATGCTGGAAAGTGGAAAGCCCCCAGGCTTCCCGCCAGCTGTGTAAGAGACAGGTAGAGGGGGCTGGAGTGTTGCTCAGGGTGGAGAGCAGAAACCCTGGTTCCTGTCCTCAGCTCAAGGGGAAAAAAATCCATGCAGGGGCATTCCCGGAAACCTGAGGGCTTCGTTTCAGGGAGCTGTTCATCTTCCCTTAAACTTTTAATACAGCTTTACTCTAAAACCTGTAGTGACTCTCAAACCCACATTCTGGGGCCAAATTTAACTGCCAGGGGATGGAGAGGGTGAGCAGCTTATATGACCCTTAGTCTTTCTGAATGTTTGAAAAGACCCAGAAAGGCCAATGCCAACCAATGGACATCAGCTCTTAAAACTTGTTCCTTTTGCTGTGCTGGGCCCTTCATCCCACTCCGGGTGCCTTTGCTCTGTGATAGAGACTACTGCGTGAAGGGGGTTTCGTGGCAGGCAGGGACTCTTTGATCTGAATCTCAAATAATGGGCCCAGCTTGAATTGGTGCTGGCTGGTGAGCCCAATCAAAGAGGGTGGCAAAGAGGGGCTTCCCTTGGATGTCTGCACCAAACAGCCGGGTTGTCTATCTTCCTACATAAATGGCAAAGGGAAAGAAAGGAGGAAGAAATCGTTCAAGGCCCTCTCTTGAAAAGCAGCAAGTCATTTCTGAGGTCTTATGGAGAATGTAGGATACTGTGGAGGTGCTCTCAGGTTCCACAGCCCCCAGTTGCCTCTTGTGTGCTTTGGGCCAGCTGAGAACTTAAGATGTCTCCCTGCAGGGGACATGGGACTGGGGGTTCTGGGCAGCCTGGAGATCTCGGCCTTCGAGTGGCTGGAGCTCCCCCGGCCCCCATTCTTAGAGTAGAGTCTCTGCCTCCTTGCTGCCTTTCAACCTGTGCTGAGCATTAAAAATAGCCACTCCACCCACCCAAGAGAAACGGCGAGAAGAGGCCCCACCCAGCAGCACACAGCGGGAGTCTTGAGGCTCATCTTTGTAGGGCACATTGCCCATGGCGCCCTACAGTCAGGAAAGCCTCCAAACACCAAACAATGCTCCCCTAACTGGCCAGTGCAGGCTGGGGGACTGAAGGACTGAAGCTGGGCGCTGGGGGATAGCACAGGAGGAAAGGCGAAAGGGCAGAAGGTGGGGTTGGGAGAAGCAGATGTTTCCTTGGGTTTGTCGTGGCACAGTACTCTAGCCCACCCAATGCTGTTAGTGCCACTTTACATGGCCAGCCCTGAGTCTTGTTCTCTGTGGAGCTTCCTGAAGCTATAATCTTCCTTTCACATCTTCTGGACACCATAGCCCCTTCTGTCTCCTGGTAACCATGAAGTTATGGAAACCTACCTGGGTCAAAAGAAAGCAAATCACTCACCCAACAGCACAGTTAGAAAGTCAGGATTTGAGCCCGAGTTTATCTCTGGGCCAAATGCGCTTGATACTAACACATTGGGAACAAAAACATAACTATCGAGAGAGAGAGATGGGGGAGGAGGGAGGGAGGGAGGGAGAGAGACGGAGGGGGGGCTCTTTTATTGAAATCACTGAGCTACACAAACATTTCATGTGTCGGTCACCCTGCAGCCCACAACAGGAAGGACAGCATTCAGCCGGGTGTTGACCCTAGCTAGTCACTCCCTGCCCGTGCTTAGCCCATCTTTAGTCCTGACAACCATGAATTTTTCCAAAATGCTAGCTGAGCTGACTCAGTGCCGCTCTTTCTAGATGGGCGTGAAGCCCTGACTTCCACTCTTAGAGCCACAAGAGAGCCACACAGTGACCAGACCAAAGGATTCGGAGCCTCCCTCAGTTTCCCTGAATGACACATGTATCTCCCTCCCTCGTGTCCTTGCTGTAGTTCTATCTGGGACCTGCCTTTCCTTGACACTGTTGGTGCTCCTTCCCCAGAAGGTGCCATTGTGTATACAATGTCTGTGTGACCTCTGTGTGACCAGGAAATAGAAACAAAGTCAACATCAGGAGGGGCTGGGGCCCTGAAGCAGCTAAACCCAGGAGTAGACTTCTTTGGGACCTAGCATATTGGGACACTCCAGGGAGCAGGATGAAACCTCTGGGAGGATATTAATAGTGGACTTTGTACAGCAGGTGGGCTGGAGCCCACAAGGCCACCATCCCAAGCTCCTGGAAGAGATTAGCATAGATGCAACATGAACGTATTCAGAAGCAGCAGTTTGGGAGGCAGGAGCTGGTTCCTTTCCTTCTTTTGCCCCTTGCCTTCTCAGAGTCAAGACACCCTTTCTGTTTGCTGTACCACCTAAGGGTGACCCTCGCCTTAGTGCTTCTTCTCACTCTTTAGAGAAGAAAGCAAATCCTTGACCCAAAGCACATGGCCAGTTCCTTTACTTGCTTCTTATTGGCCAGGATATGATCACATGACCACATCTAACTGCAAGGGAGACTGAGATGTGTATTCTTTAAATGAGAGGTTATGTGCCCTGCCCAATGCCCAGGGCTCTATAAGGAAAACGGGAGTTGAGGCAGTAATGCCAGTGGGCCAGTAGACCTCTCAGTACGTTAGTTTCCCCGCCTGTATCACATGGGTAGTAAGCGCCTTGATTCCATTGTGAGGCATTGCATCTGTAGGAGGAGCTGAGATGGCAGCTGTTGAGCTGTATACACAGTGGGGTCCTGGATGGCACCCCAACACCTGGCTATGCCCATAGTGGTGTGTTTGTGATAGGTGGCCCAGCTGTTGCTGCCACTCTTACTATTGCCATCAAGACTTTGCCACCCTCAAGTCTAGGGTTCTTCCGGTGTCTCCATAACCCTCCTCCAGGTAGGACTCCCTGGAGTCCCTGGGTCCATGGCCAGATCTCCCCACACTGCCCCTGCACTGCTCTGTCAGACTCGAGTCCTCTCTTAGCCTGCTGAACAGATGGTCTGGCTCTGTGGGGTTCTCGCCAGCTCAGCTGCAAGAAGTGTTTAATCTGTCTCGTGCAGCTCAGCACAAATGGTCAGCTTGGTGGGGCTCAAATCCAGGATGCCAGGGTGACTGCAGGACAGCCTGTCCCTTCGTCCATGGGTCTGGAATTCTAGCCAGGCCACCTTCAGAGGGGTGGCAACAGAAGTGGATGATCTTAAATCAGGGTTCAGAGACCCCTGCCGTACCAGGCCCAGTAGCATTCCCTTCCCCTCACGTTGGTCCCACCATCTGGTTGTCCCAAACCTGCTCAGAGTCTACCTGCAAGGAGAAAATTAAGCAACAGGTGTCAGAGCTTCACAGCTATTCTTGGGAGCCTAAGAGACTTATGGGAGGGGGACTTCCTACTCCAACCCGTAATCCCCAGCCCTTTACCCTGTATAGAGACAGTGTTGGGAATGGGGACAAGAAAACCCTCTCTGGTACCTCAGAGCCGCTTGAGCCAAATAACCCGAGTAGAGGACACTGTGTTCTCGTGTTTTGGTTTTGTTTTGTTTGTATGTGTGTGTGTGTGTGTGTGTGTTTTAAACTTGAGACAAGGTCAATGTGACCTTGAACTTACGCTCCCCCTGCTTTGGCCAGGACTGGGGTTATAAGCATGTGTCACCTCCATGTTGCCGATTTATAAAAATCCACCTTTGTATTGGAAAATTTCTACAGACTTTTTTGTAGACAGTCAGCTCTCCATATCCTTGGACTCCATATGGGAGAATCCAAACAGCTGTTTCTTATCTGTCCTGCAAAGCCCAGAATTCCTCTAGTGCTGACCGTGGCCTTCATCTGAGCGTCTAGAGATGACTGAAGCATAGGGAAGGGTAGGTGGGGGCTCTGCTCAGACAATACGTATCAAGCTACCTGATCATCTCAGACTTTGGGGATTCTGAATCTGCTCCCCAGTGTACGCTGAGTCAGATTGTAGGAACTTAGGTCCGAGTGCAAAGGTTCTGAACCCAGTTTAGACCCTGGTTCTCCAGGAGCTGAACACATTGCCAGTCTCCATAACCCTTGGGCAGGCAGAAGGACACCCTCTTGGAGCCCACAAACTGACAGGCTCTCCTCCTCTCAGGTCGACCTATACGACTCGGACCCACTCATCTGTCGCGCAGGGGTGAAGGTATGCTTTGGCATACAGCTGCTGAACGCTGTCTCGAGAGTGGAGCGCGCAATGCCCAAGCTGACACTGCCATTCCTGCTGCTGCAGGGTTCTGCTGACCGGCTGTGCGATAGCAAAGGTGCCTACCTGCTCATGGAATCATCCCGGAGTCAGGACAAGACACTCAAGGTAAGGGACAGGAGACATGACTTCCCCGGAAGCACTGGTAGGGGGTTAGAGGCAAATGAACTCTGTGACAGCGCATTGGTCCCCAGCCCCTCGCTTCACAAGAGTAACCCTCACAGAGGAAGAGAATAATATGATGCTATGGGCAAGAGAAAGGCGTGCAGTTGGGCACAGGAGACACAGTCTTCTCTGAGTTTCAGGACTCCCTGCGATGCCCCAGTGCTCTGCACCTGTTCAGAGTCCACAGGTCCTGGGGCCTCAGGACACACAGGGACTGTGGGGTCAGGGAGTGCCAGTTCTGGGACACTTGGATGAGTCTTGTCTGCAAGGTCATCTGCAGGAGTTGGCCCTATGGTTGGGGGTCTCTGAGGACAGGCCACAACTTGATGATGTGACATGTTAGACACAGAGAACAGTCAGAGTACCTACCACTCAGTGGTTTTCAAGACATAGGGTCTGGGGTCCAGATATACTTGCCTTCTGTCCCATCAAACTAGGAGGCACCCCACCTGAGGAGGTTAGACCCTGCTGGGTACCAGTCAGACAATGTGGAACCCTGAAACTGAAGCATACCCACCCTCTTGCCCACATGGTTGGGCTCCTGGCCTGGGCAGGTGTGGGGTGGGGTGCCACAGAATCTGGACTACATCCTCACTGTTACAGAGACAGTTAGGTGACTTCAGAAGTGGTGGAGTCAGTATCTGAACCGAGGTCCTTGGGCTTGAATCTGCAGTCCCTCCCAACCTGCCACCGCTCTGGCAGAGACGTGTATCTTGGCAAATTGTCAGGGGCTTCTCAGTGGCAGAGCTCTGGCCTCGTTCAAGGGGCCCAGCTCCACGCTTCCAGGAGAAATTAGCTTTTCACTCGCTCAGCTGCTGTCTCTTGAGTGCTGACTTGGTGGAGGTCCTGAGGACAGTCTGACAAAGGCTCCCCTCCCCTGGAGCCTGTACTCCCATGGGTGAGCCAAGAGCAAATGGGTGCTCAGGACCGCTGCAGACAGGGCTCGGGGTCTGTAGGACAGAGGGATGCCAGAGCACTCCCTTCCCATGGACTTAGAGGGAGAGTAGCCATGGAAGAACACTCCAGACCAACCAAGCAAGGGAAGTGGGGATGGGGGTGGGAGGCCCTTGGTCTTGGCACAGGGAGCAGCTGTGAGAACAAGGCTGGCACAGGAGGAGGCGCTCATGAGAAACACTGTTCACAGCTGAGGTGAGGAAACAAGCGTGTCGCCTTCAGATGGGAGACGCCTGTGCCCGCTGGAGCACAGCCCCACCTAAGGAGCGAATGCCTGCACCTCGTGGAGGCTTCTGGAGGGTGGTAAATGTATCAAAATCAAAATGAGGAAGGCTCGGAAAGGCAAGAGTGGCGTGCACTATGGACATGTGTAAACTAAATCCCCAAAGCCTGCACTATAAACATTTAAATTTCAATTCCCAAGGCTGGGACAGTGAGGAGGGAGAGGCAGGAGGACTGGTAGGTTAGAGGCAAATGCAGTCAGGTGGCTATGTCCTGAGGTTCTGTAGCCCACTGAATAGTTCAGAAGAGGCATGTTGAGTGCTCTTAGCACAAAGAAGTAAAGGATATGTTGATTGCTTGACACAGTATTGACGGATGCTCCTGGGGCTTGGGGTCTCTAAAAGCAGGCGACTTCACCTCTGAGACAGGTGACCCCAGCAGATAGCAGGAAGAAATCCTAAGACAAATGGCAAGTAGCTAGGTCTCACTTCTGAAGAGGGCTGACCGAAGGGACATCCTAGTCAGCCACATAGTACAGGGTTTCCAAGCAATAAGTAGTTTCTAGACTTTTGGGACTATAGAAGCCAGGGGCAAGGGATGGGGCTGACCTGGACAGGCCAGAGCCACGGTGTGTTTGAGGGACACTGGTCTGCCTTTGGACACTGCTGGGAAGTCCAGAGTTATTCAAGCATCAAGTGGCTCTGAGTAGGGCAAGTGAGATCCCTGGAGACCTTGCCAAGGGCCACCGCTCTGGGTTGTGGGGAGGGAGGAGTAGAGAATGATAGGAAGTGGTGGAAGGTGGGGGCGTGAAGATGGGCAGAGCTTCCTGGCAGGAAGGTTCTGGGGATCTAAGCTGTACCAGCAGCCCTGGGAATAGCATGGAATGTCCAGACTGTGGCAGAATTGTAATTGTGATTAGAAAATGCTGGCTGGAGCAGGGCAGAGGCAAGCCATACCTGCCTTCTCAGCCACCAGCAGCCCCGGGGCGGGAGGATGACTTAGGGTTAGACATTTATGCAAGTCTAAGCAACATGGCAGTGCTCTGCCTGAAAATGAACTAGGGGAAACGTTGGGAATGATTGCCACATGAGCTCAGAAGTATGACATTGTGCACTCCTGTGCCCTGCCTATCCCCCACACAGGGTTAACTCCCTGGCTCTTCTGATTGCAGATGTATGAAGGTGCCTACCACGTTCTCCACAAGGAGCTTCCAGAAGTCACCAACTCTGTCCTCCATGAAATAAATACGTGGGTCTCTCACAGGATAGCAACGACAGGAGCTGGGTGCCCACCCTGAATGTACCAGCCAGGCAACCAGCTTGAGGTCTGGGGGAAGCAGGCAGAGGAAGGGCAGTGCTGACTGGCTCGAAAAAAAAAATAATCGCAAATTGGAGGGAACCCTAGTGCAATTTACTCTGACAAAAAAAGCTAATTTGTTATATATAAGGCTATGGCCACTGGCTCTACCACCTGAAAGGGTAGGCACTTTATGAAAGAGGAGTATATTTTCTACACAGAGACTGTGTTGGAATGTCCTATGAATAAACAATTCAGCCTCTGCCCACCTCTCCCAGCTCCCATGGGGTCCAGGGACTCTCTTGCAGTCCCATGTCCCAGCCTGCAATAATCAGAGGTCTCTTTCCTCCTCTCCCAAGCCTTCTCTGACGGGCTGTTCTTTGGCATGTGACGAGGTGGCCTGTGTCCCCAGAGCTAGCTCCTTAGGCTCATGTGCCCCTCTGAGGCACTTCCTCAAAATGGGCAGCCACCCTATGACCTGGTCAGCGACTTCTCAGATGGAAGTCGGGCTGTGGGGAGGGAGGGTGGCCATTCTCCCCACACAGCTCTTCCCCCTGCTGGGAGTTGGGTTACCCTCAGCAGGTCTGTGTATCCAGAGAGGCACCTTTTCTCAGGTCACTAAGTACCCCAAGCTGAGGAGGGTGATTTTAAAGATAAGCGTTTAATATATATGGTATATTCTAAAATAAAGATTATATGGGTGGATGGGTGAAGCCTGGACAGCTTTAGAAGGACTGGTATCCCACACAGGGCTGGTTTTCTGAGGGCCAGTCCCCTAACTGAAGACTGCCTGGCTCTTCTTGCAGAGAAAACACAAGGGACAGAGGACTGCGGCCTGGGCTGTCCCTCTGTCCAGAGCCACTGGGAGTTGTTTGCCAGTAGCACAGCTACCTCTGGTGGCAGAGGAGACTCTCATGAAGCCATGGTGCTGGCTGCCTGCCCAGGGCAGCAAAGGCACTCAGTGACCATCTGCAGACAAGGACCACAGCTGTCTGCACCCCATCACAGGTTGCAGCAGGATGGCCCAGCCAGGCCTCATAGAGGCTACCCTGGAACAGTGAAGTGCAAGCCCCTGCCCTCTCAGGTGCCCGCCCAGAGGCCCGCCCCAGGCCTCACTTAGCGCCAGCAATAACTGGGGCTCACTGCCCTCCTGGAGCACTTTCATCTTCACAGAGGGGCTTGCTGTTACCTCAGGAGTCTTGTTAGTGCACATAGGACCCTGGGAAGGGGCACTGCTGCCAGGGAGAGCTGCTTGGCTGCAGAGAGGGGAGAGTGGGCCCTCGATTCTCCAGGAAGCTGCCAACCACGGCCCTGTGGTCTTGGAAGGGCACCTGTCCACCTAGGTCCCGTCCTTTCCGGAGTTTATTCTAGGTCCTGGGGAGGGTTCTCTGCCTTCTCCAGTGGCCCTGACCATGCATGGCAGTCAAAAGCTGGCCATACTACAGGCCATAAGGACACTACGCCCCTCATCAGGGCCAAGCACTGCATGCAGGGAAGGCAGGGCCCAGGAGCTGTCCTGAGCCCCCTCTTAGCTCTGCATCTGTTGAGAAAATAAAGATATGAAAGTGTGCTAAGAGGGTCAGTCAGCACTCCAGGCTGCTCAGGGAGCCTGGTCAGCAGCAGACAGGCATGGGGTGTTTCTGTTCTCCATTAAGAAAATAAAAGGACCCCACTCCAAACTACTGTGCCCCTGGGCCCGGAGCCACCCAGGGCTGCTCCCAGAAGCACATGCTGACAATGCCACTTTCCAAACCACATGCCCCACCTGGGCTGGTAACTTTCATGCATGACTTCATTTACAGAGATGCGTGTGCATCTGGTTAAAGAACCCTTAACACTAAAAGGGGGCAAATGACCAGAAACTGGGACTGTCTTGTGAAACCCGGAAGAGGGGACAGGGACATGACTGCATCATGTCCTGCATGACAAAGTCGGGACCAGCACAGGACTGTCTGTAGAGAGCTGGGCCAGCCTTGTACAGGCTCTGCCCTTGGCTCTGGAGGAAGCTTGACAGGCTGGGCTTCATAGTCACCCCACCACCAGAATGCAGAGGTATTGGGGTGTGGGAGGAAGCTAAGACGCACAAGGCTTGGCCAGAAGAAGGCAGAAGCCAGCAGGGGGCCAGGAGAGTGCGCCACCCCAGGTGAAGGAGAGGGGAACCAGACCTGAGCACCTTTAAGAACATAGCACCTTCTCCAACAAGGATGGACTTAGTGCCTGAAAAGCTTTTTAGGAAAGGGTGCCACCTGCAGGTAGTAGGGTGTCTCAACGACTAAGTCCCAGTTCCACGGTAGAATGGGGAACCTTCTTTCCTCCACCATGGCCCCCTCAGCTTCTGGGTGTCCTGGGGACCACCATGAGAGCAGTCGGGGTGCTCTAATACCACAGGGCTCTACTCATATCCCACCCCCAGGCCACCTCACACTTCCCTCTCTCTCCTGATTGCTATTGTAACTTTCTAGGGATCACAGTGGCTCACTGGTCTGTTGCTGTCACCACGCTCAGTCACTCCCCATGTGTACTCTTAGTGGGGAACCTGTACCGGCTTAGAACTACTAAAGAAACCGATGTGCACTACAGCTCACCATAATAAACCATGTGCTTTTGGAGAGACCCGTGTCTGTGTGCCTGGCATCATGTTCTGTGTGTCAGCCCTTCCGCTAAGAGAACTGCTGGCCTGTGCTGGAAGTGTCATGCGCTAGTCACCTGATGTGAACTCAGCAGCCCTTCCAGGGCCAAATGCCAACTGGACGCCTCCCCGTCCGTTCCTGGGGAGGTCATGCTGGAGCACAGATTCATCCCCTCAGCACCTCCAGTGCTCAGGCAATCTTAACAGCTTGGTGCTCTGTTGTTGTCATGTTGGGTGCCCAGCATTGCCAAGCCCCATCTTCACCCATGTCTGCTCCCTGACTGAGGGGAATCCAGAACATCTATTGCTGGTGTCCCGGTCACCTCCCCTTGCTCCCCATAATCTCTTGACCTAACAGCTCTGATTTCAGAATGTCACCAAATTCAGACTGCCCCACTTTCCCCAGAACTGTCACTGTAACTGCTGGTGAACAGCAGCCTCCTCGGGCATCCCTATGCAAAGGCCACGGTGGCTCCAGCTCACTAGAGGCTGAGGTCCCTACTGATGAGAGTGGGTTCGAACTACATCACAGTCAGCCTCTCCGTGCCCTGTCCCTGCTTTCTCTCTCACTGCCCCCATGCCATTGGATATGACACACTGCTTTGTCTCCCACGTGGGTTGCGAGGTGAGAAGCACATGTTCCATCTGTTGTCCAGAGGCTCCCCAGAAATACTGTGTCATGGGGCTGTAGATGGAGGGAGAGAATGAATGGGAGGAAGGTCAGAGAGGAAGTAACTGAGCATCAGGGGTGAGAGAATGGCTGACAGTGAATGCAGGGGTCTGGGAAGGAAGAAGGTGAGCAAGGAGGAAAGAAGGAGTGTCAAAAATAAAACAGTTCTCACCTCAAAGAGGATAAAAGAGTTTGTTGTGGAGCTAACTAGGATTGGTGATGGCCTGGAAATGTGGATTCAGGTCACTCCAAATTCTATGCTCCAATGTTCAAGTTTCATGGAGTTCTTATAGTAACCGAACTAAGAAAGTCATTAATCAAGGCACTTCTCAAGTACCTTGATGGAAACATGATGTGCAGAGATGTAGTAGTTTGTACAGGAAATGCCCCCCGTAGGCTCTGGTATTCGTTGGTGGTGCTGTTTGGGGAGGCTGCAGACCCTTTAGGAGGTGGAGTCTTGCTGGAAGCAGTGTGCCACTGTGGATGGACGAAGTCATTCATGGTGCTGGAGGCCGTGTGTCACGTGGCCGTGTGTCACTGTGGGTGGACAAAGTCACTCATGGTATTTTATCACAGCAACCAAAAGCAACTAATACAGCAAGTTAGAGCAGACCAGGGCAGTCTCTACTGCAAGTGTCATGCTCCCAAGTTAGTGCACAGAGATGCACTCTTAGGAATGCCCGGCCTTAGCTTGGCTTGTTTCTATTTAGCTTTCCTTAAATTATCCCATCTAGCCCGGCGGTGGTGGTGCACTCCTTTAATCCCAGCACTCGGGAGGCAGAGGCAGAGGCAGAGGCAGGCAGATCTCTGAGTTCTAGACCAACCTAGTCCACATACAGAGTGAGTGCCAGGACAACCAAGACTGTTACACAGAGAAACCCTGTCTCAAAAAAAAAAAATGATCCCATCTACCTTTTGCTTCTAGTCTTTTTTTTAAATTTATTTATTTATTAAGGATTTCTGCCTCCTCCCCGCCACTGCCTCCCATTTCCCTCCCCCTCCCCCGATCAAGTCTCCCTCCCTCATCAGCTCGAAGAGCAATCAGGGTTCCCTGACCTGTGGGAAGTCCAAGGACTGCCCACCTCTATCCAGGTCTCGTAAGGTGAGCATCCAAACTGCCTAGGCTCCCACAAAGCCAGTACGTGCAGTAGCATCAAAAACCCATTGCCATTGTTCTTGAGTTCTCAGTAGTCCTCATTGTCCGCTGTGTTCAAGTCCGGTTTTATCCCATGCATTTTCAGACCCAGGCCAGCTCGCCTTGGTGAGATCCCGATAGAACATCCCCATTGTCTCAGTGTGTGGGTGCACCCCTCGCAGTCCTGAGTTCCTTGCTCGTACTCCCTCTCCTTCTGCTCCTGATTTGGACCTTGAGATTTTTGTCCGGTGCTCCAATGTGAGTCTCTGTCTCTGTCTCCTTTCATCGCCTGATGAAGGTTAATATTCAGGAGGATGCCTATATGTTTGTCTTTGGATTGACCTTCTTATGCTTCTAGGCTTTTATCTTTCTTTATTCTATACACCTTTCTTTTCTTCTGTTCCGTGACTGGTTGTGTGACTGGGTATCTGGTCCCTGCTGTCTTCCTCTCCTCCTCTTCTCGCTCCTCCCTCTTCTCGTTCTTCTCTCAATTATTCTCTCTGCCTGCCAGCCCCGCCTATTTTTCTCTCTAGCTATTGGCCATTCAGATCTTTATTAGACCAATCAGGTGTTTAGACAGGCTAAATAACACAGCTTTACAGAGTTAAACAAATGCAACATAAAAGAATGCAACACATCCTTGCATCATTAAACAAATATTCCACAGGATAAACCAATGTTACACATCTTAAAATAATATTCCACAGCACTTTGCTATAGACCTCAGAAGCTATCTTAGCTTTTGGTTGATGGAAGCCACTGGTCTTTTAGGTTAACTTATTTCAAAGGGTTTTGCCTATTAATCACAAGGATGTTTGATCAGAGGTGGGTAAGAAATGGCTATAAAAGAGGCTGGAGATAGCCCACAATAAATTGAAATTAGCCTCTGGACTGTTTCAGCCTCTCTACGGCCTTTGACGTTCTAATCAGCCATGTATAAAGTTCAGTGGAAAGGACAGCTTCTTTCCAGGAACTTGGGCTCACAGTAATGAGAGGGAAAGAATGAGGCGCTGGGGAAGGAGCAGTCTGCATGCACCCTTCAAAGAACAGAACAGAAATTAGAAATTGCATCTAGTACTTCTTTATAATAGGGCCACTTGCCTGTGGCATGGCCACAGCTGGGGAGGCTGGGAAATGAGACACCAGCCAGAGAAAGGAAGGGTGAGGGACTCGACAGAGTGGGCTATTGCCTATGAGGAGGCCTTCAGAGAGAGAAGGCATGGCAGTATGGGCAGAGGACAGAAGAGCGGGGCAGGGCCCAGCCAGCAGTGTCTGACAGATGGGACAAAGCTGCTCAAGAGGTAGGTGATGGGTGTATCAGGGTCTGGGAGAGAAGAGAATGCCCACCTTTCTGGGTACTGGAGGGAAGGAGACTGCCAGTCGGCCCATGCTGCTAACCATCCATTTTCTAGAGTTCTGGTTCTGCTTCCCAGGGGGGAAGGGGTCATATGAATGACTGGTGGAACCCCATCATGGCCTCATGAGTGGTGGGCTTCTGTTACTGGTTGGAAACCCAAGGGTGTAATGATTTCCTACAACCACAGCTAAGGCAGAGTCGGGGCAGAACCACACACCCCTCTGCCCCCACAGCAAGGCCTAAAGGCCAGCATCACAGAAAACTACTGAGGCCTCAGGACCTTCAGCCTGTCTCCCAGACCTGGACAGATGTCCCCTCCCCAAGGACCCAAGAAAGCCCACCATAGGTATTCTAACAGTGTACCCAAGTACCCTGTAGAGAGGGGGTGACCTGCACAACCCATCATTCATGTCCGACCAGAGAAACCAGGCACTTTCCCCAGATGCACAAGGCCTTAAAAATGTTCATTACAAGCTGGGTGGTGGTGGCGCACGCCTTTAATCCCAGCACTCGGGAGGCAGAGGCAGGCGGATCTCTGTGAGTTCGAGGCCAGCCTGGTCTACAAGAGCTAGTTCCAGGACAGGAACCAAAAGCTACAGAGAAACCCTGTCTCGAAAAAAAAAAAAAAACCTGTTCATTACATAAATAAAGGGCTAGGTATGGCTTGGGAGAGGAGTGCAGGTCCTGGGTTCCATCACAATGAAATATAAAGTATGAACTGTCAAGTGAGAGACAGATGTGTTTCCGTCATCCTAAAACCCAATATAAATGCTGTGCTGACCCATACCCTCATCTTCAAAGGTTTTTAGAAAACGCGTCTGCAAAAACAGCTCTGGCTCCTCATTTGGTCCCACAAAGCAGCAGCAGGGCGAAAGTCTGGCATCTCTGCCTTCGTCCTGTGACTGCATTCCTTTTGGTTGGCAGCTCACCTCTGTACCCCAGCAATAAATAACAACCTACTTCAAATTCAAAGGCACAGAAATAGTTGCTGCCCTAAAACTGCCTTGACTTTGGAATTCGGGAACTGCAGAGCCTGGAAGGACAGAATGCCCCTCCGTGTCAGGCCAATCCTCAAGACAGGACAGCCCCCAGGGCACACCATCCCTCAGATGAAGACAGTTGTCCTTGAGAGAGAGGCTGTACCCAGGAGCAAAAGTATTTGTCCTATAGGACCAGGTTGGTCCCCTCAAAAGATAACACTGTTGTCAATCAGGACTGAAACCACACCTTGACCAGGGCTGCTGAATGATTCACCATCAGCTGAGGCCTCCATGGTTGCAGTTCAGCAGGTTCCATGACACATGAACCTCAGGGACCTGATTACCCTCCTAGTGCTCAGAGGTGCGCCCTCTGGTGGTCGACAGAAAGCTGTGATTGGCTCAAATAGAACTCTACACAAATGACGACCAAAGCGTGGCCCTGATTGGTGCAAATGTCCCTTTCTGGATCTATAAACGGGGTGCACACTGTGCCCGGAGTGCTGTTGAGGTTACAAGGTCTCGAACTCTTGGCCTGAGCTGTAACTGTAGAGACAAAGCTCCCCACTCAGGAGGAGCAGCCCAGGGACAGATGAGAGGGCCGCACCTCTTCCTGGAACACTGGGTAGCTGTTAAAAGATTGTTAAAATTGCCAGGCATGGAGCCGTTTGCTTCTGATCCTAACACTGGGGCGGTGGAAGCAGAAGAATCATACGTTTGGGGCTGTTCTAGGCTACATGATCATTTTGAAGTCACGCGGGGGTACGTGTCCCAGTCTCAAAAGAAACCGATATTTTAAAAACCCACTGTTTGTGGGGATAAGTTCTCATGTTCATTTTCCTA